GAATTATTTATGTACCTTCCTCTATACAAAGAATCCTTTATTCACATATTATGTTCGCATATTAATCTTAATTTTTTTATAATTTTCTTAGGCTAAATCGAATTCGATAATATTCTCGGAAAATTAGCTTCCACTATTCCTCGAACAAATTTAAATTTCGAACTATTGATCCTGGCTGAATACTGATCGGGAATCCCTAGGTATATTTTAATTTATGATTTTTTTATTTATTCGATTTATTTATTAAAGTATTAATTTAATTCTAATATTTCGTTAATTTTTAATAATATAAGATTTTCAAATTAATTTACCTAATAGAAAAATAATTTAGTTATGTCTACTCAAGTTTTCGAAAATTTTTTTGTCGGTTTAAATTCATAATGTTTTTAAATAAAGTTTGATTCGATACTTTTTGAGATATTCAAGTATCTAAAATAATATTAACACATATTCATTTAAATATAATACGTATAATAAAAGTCATTATCTATAATTTAATTCCCTATATCAATAATTAAATTAACTTGTATGTGGTTAATTAGTACAATTCACTGACATCGCGGAATTTTTTGATTTGATTATTATAAATTTGCTGCATAATAATTATAATCAAAATTGTATTTGATTGGTCAATTCTTTCTTAGCTATAAAATTGCTTAAGAAACCACCATCAAAATCTTCGCCCATATTCTTAATTGCAAGAGTCTGAAGAAGCTGCAAAAGTATATACTGAATTCGTAGCATCATTCGAAAAAGACGAAGGAGGTGGAAAAGCCTTTGTTAAAGGCGAAACTATTATACCAAAAGGAGTCCATTAGTTAGCTTTTAAACCATTGTAATCGTCGTTCACTAAGTTACTCGATAATGTCTGCTAGTATTATTCGATCCTGAAGTGATAAATATTAAAAAGGAAACACCTGCCCCAACGACTCCGCCAAAATTATATAAACCACAAACTTTCGTACCTTCTGTAACTACTATTACTGAACAAGAACCGACCCCCCCCCCGAAATTAAAGTCGAAGAGAGCATAGATAAGAATGAGGTTAATTTGTGCAAGCAGTCACCCATCAAATTTATTCATTTTCTGACTTGTATTTAATTATTTAAATTTATAGGATGAAGACAAACAAGAAGAAAAGGCTAAAAAAAAAAGCGTAATTTAGATTCTTTTTTGGA